TTAAAAATTGGTAAAGTATTTCTCTACAGATATTACGTGGTTCTTAATTTTTGTTTCCAAAATGCTTGCTGTAAACTAGTGTTTTTCGGCTGTCAGTTTGCTAAAAGATACATTTGATTGTATTGTAACTGGAGCAGTTATGGGTGACATTTAAATGCGTAGTTATTGTACGTACAATACTTTGTTATGCACAGTTACTTTATACAAGTATAAGCATAGTTAATAGTAGCATATAATTAACGGCTATTTATTTAAAAATGGACAAAAAATACAGCTCTAAACAAAATAAATTTTGGGGGGACGTGTTTGTAGTGTTATAGATATAAGACGACTTACCTACGGTGCACGCTTGCAGCTGCCAGTAATGTACGAGGTAAATCGCTTCCTCTCGTTCGACTGAGTAAGCATACAGAAACGAGTCATTAAATGTCTGTCAGTCACGCGACTAGAAAAACCCGAAAGCTTTCGCTAAATATTAAAAAAATACAAGAAAATACTTTCTTGTCTTCTTCATTGACGTACTTGATAGAAGTGAGTAAGCAAATAAAAAGTTTTTTTTATGTTCACGAACTTAAACATATTATCTGTTATTTTATCTGATGACTTTTTCATATTCGCAAATTTACTGTTTTATATTGTTCATTTAAATTATATACAGTAAATTACAATTCTGAATTCGTTAACTCTCTGACAGAGTATATTAATTACAATTACAAATTACACTTGAATAGAAGATATAAAAATAACAATATGGACAGAGTAAGCATAAAGAAATCAGTCAAGTGATCCCGAAATGTCTATCAGTCATGCGACTGAAAGAATTTGTTTCGCAGTCTAAAAATGTACAAATCTTTGGGGTGACTTTTTTTCGAAATGAAAGTAAAATAGATAGAATTTGGTATGCATCATTCTATTAAAAATATTTCAGCAATCTTTCGTCAGTGAAAATTCAATAAAGGTAGGCTAGCGAGTCATTTTACAAAGCAAACAAACACGTGTAATTAATACAGTAGTTTCGGTGGTTGTACCCAAGTACTGTCGGGTATTATTAACTTTATCATTACGAATTACACGAAATTACAGTTGATATGAAGAAAAAAATAATAAAATTTAGATGTGTTATAATATATTATTCCTGCAAAAATAAAGAACTATTTTTCCTGATTACGTAACAAAACCGAACCACGTCGTCCACGTAACAGTTGAAACGAATAGGTCGGATAGCGTAGTCTGGTTCTTCATTCCCTCTTGATTTATTCTAAGGTAAGTAATAAAGCTATATAGAGTAATTACGAGTTCGAATTTATATTTTCAATATAATTTATATTTCATTTTTGTATAATTTCGTTATGACTGCAGAAGTTTGCTTCTTACGGTTCAGTTCGTTTCGTTTTTCGAGTACGTAAAAATATACGGTAAGTATGGCCATTTTTGAAACATAATTACAATTATAACTAAAATATAATTCTATATTAGATTAAGTTTTTGGTAGCTATGTTTATCTCTTGGCATAGTCGTTGAATGCTCCATTACTGATAATGCTACGGTTAATAGTATTATTAATAAAAAGAGTCTTAATATTCTTGTATTTTTATAATAATTATCTTCCGAAAGGCGTAGACAATTGCAGCAATAGCAATTGAACACCTGACAAAAGTCAAATACAAGAATAAATTAGAGTTGACTTCCTACCGAAATCCCAACNATATTCTTGTATTTATATTATAATTATCCTCCGAAAGACGTAGAGAAGCGCTGTAATAGCAATTGAACAGCTGACATTAGTCAAATACAAGAATAAACCAGAGTTGACTTCCTACTGAAAACCCAACTGTAGTGGCGCATATTATAAATTGCTGGGTAACTGTTGTAATTAAGGTTTAATTATTAAATGATCATATCTATTCTTAATCGTTTCATACCCATTACTGCTTTTCGGATGTATACCAGGTGTTTCAGAAATATTTAGCCAAATTGCAGAGGTTTATAGAGGGAGAATAGGCTGAATTTTGTTTTAAATCTTAGTGAATTTTAAATAAAAAATGTATTGACATAATTTTCGTTATTTATTACGTTTACGTGATGTATCAGTAATGTCGTGGGAAAAGCATAATCCTGAGAAAACAGGAATTAATACTTCTTCGTAGACACCGTTGACTTGTGCTGACTTGTACTGTACCTATGGGAGATAATTTGCAAGTGTCTGCACCAATTATAAATTGTATGAATGGGATTTCTATTGATGAAGAATACGTAATACCTATTCTTCGAGCTGTGTTTTGTAATAGGACCCTCAGAAATTATAGCAATAATCTGCTCTTTCATCACCGATGTTCAGCTATTCCTCTATCAAAAGTGAAAATGAAAAATGCCCTCCGTTTTTTCAAAGACCGGGATGAACAGCTGGAAAGATATTATTGGCTGGAATAATTAATTAATTTAATTATATGGGATGGGATTAATTAAAATTGAGCTTTCTAACAAAGAAGACGTTTGACCTGCCTCTCCGATGTACAAATGAATAATCAGAGAGCTATTGTGATATTTATGCCTTTCTGGATATCCTCAAACACCTTCCTGGATTTTCTACAAAATAAATTAAAACAACATTCTCATTTTCACGCAATTCCTTAACAGCCACAATTCAATTTATAGTTTAGGAGCTGGCTGACTTTTGAGATTTCTTAAAGTTTGGCTTTCTATCATTTAGATATTCATGTTCCATTATTATTTTATCACTAGCTGCAAGAACCCGCTTCGCTGGGTTTTTATTTGTTCGTACATTTGTATGTAATACATATATTTATATATATATATGTATAAAAGACTGTTTTTCTAAGTAATCTAGAATCTAGCTGCAAGGACACGCTTCGCTAAGCAAAAAGTAACGATAGTGAAGATTAAGGTAATTACATTATAGCAAATCTTACCCGTTATCACAGAATGCAAGAATTAGGTCCCCCGTTTCCAGATTAATTAGAGACCTGGTCCCGATTCTATTTCTGAACGTCTCCTGTTCATGTCCAGTCAAACGAACTCTTTTGAACGTTTCTGGAACGTTTACAATCGTTGTATAATCGAACCAATTCGAATTCGAAAATTTTTAAAATGGAAATAGAAAATCTTCCACTTTCAACCACTTTCAAGCCCATATCTTCCGCACCCTTATAGACGCAACCACCATAGTGCACGAATGGAGACTTGGGGCTACCACCACATACAAACAGCATTCATGTGCGATGTGTAGTTTTTGCGGAAAAGTGAAATATAGGGACATACATGTCCATTTATATAGGGGAGATCGGGGCAAATTCGGCATGCGGGGCAAGTTTGTCAAGCGCTTTTTTTAAAAAACAAATTAAAAGGAGACTTTGGTTATAGGTTAGGCAGTTGAGTTTTATTGGTGGCTTGTTGAGTGTAGTGTTTTTATTGTTCTCCAACAAGCGTAGTTGAATTATCAAGCAAATTTTCATTTTCGTT